CACAAAGCTCTGTATAAAAGAGCAGGGTATTTTAAATAAATCAGAGTTTTACTCTCAGCCTTCTGAGTCCAGTCTCTTCATTCCTGTCCTGCCTCAACAGTGACATCAGAACAATTCCTCTTCCCCAGCCCTCCACACTTGGTGGGGATGTTATCACATTCCTGCAGTACACAGCCTCTGGTCTTGTCCCAGCCCTCGGGCCCTGCAGGGTTAGCAGCACTCTCAGAGGACCCAGACTCAATGTGACAGCTTGCAGGCAGCCTTGTTGGCTAGAGATGGCATCCCCTCCTTCTTATATCCAAAATAAATTCATTCTGTGCCCTATCTGCCCACAATAGTTCTAAGGGAAAAATAAACCCTCACAGTCCATGTCCAGACTGGCATTTAATTACACAGTCACAATCTCTGCAAGGCTCTGCTCTTTAGGGCTGTTATAGAAGTTTCTAATCCCTTTTTCCTTCCAAGTACTCTCATCAAGGCATGGAAAGAATAAAGCAGAACAAGTTCCAATTAAAGCTTGGGGGATTTTTGATCCGACCAAACAGCAGACCTTGCTTTGAGCTGCTGGGGCTCTTCCCTCCTGTCTCCTTTGATGAAATGGAAATCCACATGTGGAGACTGCCAAGGGAGCACCCAGCAACCTGCTGGTGCAAAATGGTCTGAAGATCGTGTGCCTCTAAGAGGCAGGGGTTGTATACACCTAATCTCTTCATCATCAATTCCTAAGTGGCCTATTCTGAATACAATCAATGGAAAATACAGTAAGGAGTTATTCATAGGGGCCTTCTCAGGTATCCAACAAAGAAGTTATAGTTTCTGACTTCTCACCCACTAGGCATCCATCAATCACAGCTTCCCCAGAAGGAGCTCACTTCCCTCAGCTCATCCCCAAAGAGCCATTCCTGTGCACAACCTGAGCCACTCCTGGTAGGACTGCAGTGCTGTTAGCAGGCAGTTTGAGAGACACAACCACTGTGCGAGCAATCACCACTCACTGTTCAGTCCCCCACCACTCCCATCCTGTCTGCAAAATTAAAAATCTGTCACCCGCTCTGACTTGGCCAGCAACTGGCCCTCTCTCAGGATAGTGCTTAGCAGACACAGGGCTTTAACAGATGGCAAGACAATGACGCAGTTCAAAATCTAAATGTGATGCCACAAGAGCAGAGCAGTGCAGATTTGGTAACAAACTCAGTGGAAAACGTTACAACTGTGGAACCAGTAAGGCATAGCTGAAAAAAAAATTAAATGTACTCCCCTCATAGAGTGGGAAGTGGGTGTACTTTGTTGAAGGGTGAAATAACAGGCTCACTTCTCCAGAATATACAGAAGTTCCTGTAGGATTTCTTCACATGTTTCCCATTTCCTTGCTAATTGCAAAGCAGTATTAATCAGTAAATAGCTCTGCATACAACATACCAAGCACTGAGAATTAAAAGATGTAGTAGGTAGATTTCCTTCAAGTAGTTATGCCTCACATACAATCAGCTGTTTCTTGTAGAGGTAATGTACCACAGCTGAAAATGAGGACTAAAACTGTCTCAAACACAGTCTGATTATGCACCTTGCTGCTTTGCTGAAAGTGAAAGCATGCATGAAAGGATTAAGTAATTGAATCATCTATCACCATCAATATCCAGAGAAGTCAGGCTGAAACGACTAGGGAACTTCTGAGATCAAATGAGGATAACTGATAAGAAAAGCTCAAAAATTAATTTGAGAAACTGTATCAAGACTTCTTCCCCCTTTTATGAGTTTGTTAACTCAAAAGTGTTTAAAATACCAGCATATCACAATCATTGTGTCTCCTTCATATCAACCTACATGAAATTATGTCTTTGGTTCTTGAATTTTTTGATAACCAGCCAATATACCACATGATGGACAAGTGCCTACACACAATGTGAGGGATTCCCATAGAAAACACTAAAAATGCATTACGTATTTCAGCATTTCCACCATGACCTCCTCTCTGCCTGGAATTAGAGGCAAAGAGTACCACAGTGATTATTTCACATCCACTTCTGGTGCTCGCTCTGCTGTGTGTTACCATCTGAGAGTGACACTGAATCACCCCAGATGATGCAACAGCAGTAAGAAAGTTATCACATAGGATTTATTACCTATGCTCCCATAAATCCTTCTGGGCTATATACGAGGTAACTGAAAAAGATGGCAAATGTAGAGATATATACAAATAGAGCACTGTGCCCTTGTCCCAAGAGAAAGCCACATTATGTCATTTTAGGTCATTTTAGTTTATTCAGGAAGTGAGTGTGTTTCCTTGGAAAAAAAGATTCAGGCCAAGAACCATGGACTTGAATTTCACTTAAACTCATTTTATAGGGAGCTTTCAAAATGCAGCTGAAGTATTGATCCCCTGTCACTCTTTCTCAAGAGTGGTTATCACAACAGCACCTAAGGACCAGGCAAGGAGCAGACTCCACCGTGCACAGAGACAGAAGGCAGGTATGGAGGGACCTGCTGGGGAAAGTATGGAGACAGTGGTGATGGATGGAGCAAAGAGCTGCAGGGCAGGCAGCAGAATGGACAGGGGAAGCTTCGTATTTATTGAAAGCTGTTGCTCAAGCTGTTACACAACTTGCACAAAAGCTGTAGCAGATACAATGAATGTGAATGAGAGATAACCTCAGATACAGTTTGCTGCTTTCTAGCCCAAGGCACAACTCATTCAAGACAGACTGGATGTTACCCCTGTGAAATATTTTGCCTTAATTTCAAGACACAAAAATAACAGCAACAAGGAACCTCCATTACACAGAAACCCTGCAGCTAAAGGTATCAAACAGCATTTCCTCCCCACTCCTTCACACAGACCCGCTGGCTCCATTCAAGATTACAGCAACAGCAACAAGGCCATGCTAATCTTCCAGATCTTGAAATTAGTTTCTGAAAACTGATGAAATCCCTAAGGTAATTTAGGGCCATGCACTCTGCAGGATTTGGGTAAATTACATTGTCTTTTAATTGATCTCCCTGCCCACGTGCACTCGCAGGGCACCTGGACACGCAGACTCCCTCCATCCCCTCCCTAGGAAAGACAACCTTCCCCAAAAGATCCTTCTAGAGTACTGTAAACCCAGTTAAACTGCATGAGAGCAAGTAATTGAAACAGATTCCACATAACATTCAAAAATCAACCCTCAACTACAAACTGGGGTAACACCAAAAAGGTCAAAGACTGAGGCAGGTGAAATAATCTCACAGAAGACCCAGACAGAACAGATTACAAAAGATCACAGGGTTAAAAAAATTGTTTAGGTCTGTTTTGACAAAACATCTTCTATTCCCTCATCACAAAAAAATCTAGAACAGCTGATGTTGTAACTGACCAAGTTTATCAGGTATTGACTTTTACTTTCTGGAGCTCTTCATCCCTACATCCACCCACCCATCCTACATCCACAGAACTAAAATTTGTTCTGCAAACTCTAAATCCATAAAACAAAAGTTTTTTCAGGGCATTATTCCTGATGTATCATAAAGGTGTTTTTCATCCTCTCTGCAGCAGAAGGCTTAGAATATTATAGAGGAAAAACTACAGGAAAAATAAATGTCCATGTGATTAAAAAAAAAGAGTAGAGTTCTGTTAAGTCCCAAATACAACAACCTACATACATGCCTAACTTCAGGGAGGGAGAAGGACTTGAGTAGCTATTTCAAGTCTTCAATGAGTTGAGGTTCTACATACACAGATTTATTTCCTCTTCCTTTCAGAGATGTGACTTTTCTGAAGTTCCATGAGCATCTTTAAGTATTCAGAAGAAAATATTCAAATTGTAAAACAAGCTAAAATAACATCAGTAAGTTAAAACTTTTGATAATGTTTACCTCTGTTTAATTTTCAAGGTACACAGAATGCCAAATCCTACTTGTTTTTCATATGCAATTAATCCTACCAAAATCCTGGGACTACTTCTGAAAGTAAAATGAGCAGGATTTAGTTTTTAATCCAACACCAACAGAAAGGGAAAATATGATACAGTGTTTTATCCCCAGCAAAGAACCCTGGCACTAAAATCCCCCTGAGTGAGTAAAGCATCAGTGTGTATTCTGCAGCTAATCTGGCAACAGAGCAATCTTCTGTTTGTAATTTCTATTTTTGCCCAAATGACTGTATAGAGGCAGATGGTCACACCAAAGGAGGATGGTTCTGGAAAGAAATCTCCCTCCCTGAGGAATAATTCACAAGACCAGTCTGGGGACTGCCAAAGTAAAATCTTTTGCCAGGCAGCTGAATCACAGCACACTTAACACCTTCAGCTTCTGGCTTCTGTATCACATTCTTACCTCCTAGTAAATATAGCACTGAGGGGGAAAGAGCAAAAATATATTTCTGTGACTGGATAGGGCTTTGAATGCTAATGACTGGATGTTGAGACTAATTTCAAATTTTTATCATCCAAGGAAAGCTTTTCTGACTGCATTTCCTCCATCCCTAGGAGTATGCCCTAAGTTACTGATTATCTGGAATCTCATCATCAAGTTTTCAAGGAAGATACTTGTTTCTTTCAGGCTGCAATGTCTCAAGCAAATAAAGTTTCTAAAACACAGGTCATACAAATCAGCCAAGGGTTTTAATCTCCCTCATAATTTTCTACTGTGTTCTGACACCAATTAACAGGGCCTTCTTTCTTTAAACCAAGTGGGAAAATTAAGAAGTGAGAAAAATTTTAAGAATTTTTAATGAAAATACGTGAGATAGTATTGTAACCCATACATTTTTTATCTGAATGCTGAATTTTCCTTTCTCTGAATTTTCCTTTCTCTGAATTTTCAATATACAAAAAATGGTTTTGATCAACAATAAATTAATATCAAAAACCTTCAGGGCTGTCAGGTAGTAAGAGTGATTTTCCAACAGCAAGATGAAATCAAATGGCACTGTGATCAACAAGGTGAAGATTTGACAGTTCTGATTTTGATTAATTCAAGCTTTAGAATTAAAAATGGGCTTAGAATAGTGAAAGTCTTCTTACCTGTTTTGCTTGTCTGCAGACCAAATGAGACATCACTTCTTTCAGGCATTTATACTTGGCTGAGATACATTCTTCATAAGCTTGAGGGCTAAGGAAAAAAGTTTGAATTTACATTTTAAAATACCAGATTACGTTTCATCCTACAAATTATAAAATCTGCAAGCTTGGAATCACAAAGTATTTGTGCTATATTCTCAGTGAATACCTTGGGAACATTTCAGCTCTTTTGTCCTCTGTCCCTAGTGATAATAAATATAAAGTTTCCAGTGCTAAATTTGGTTGCTTGCTAGACTTAAACTGCTCTGTTAGGATTTCCAAATTACATAAGCAGAGAGAGTTTCTGAAACATGGCTTCAGGGAAAAATCACAGCTACAAAGTGTTACTAGATTTAAGAACTAAAGAATTACCAGCTATTTAACTTCAGCAGAAGAAGCAGAAATAAGTATGTTGTCCAACACCCTTGGCAGTTTCCTGGTAAAACAACAGTCAACTTCTTATTTGCATGGAGCTGCTTTATACCCAGTCAGGTGTTTGGGGTCAGAACAACTGAGTCAGTAATTACTGAATGGCACCAAGTCAGACTGGCATCATACTAATTTCTACAGGGCACACACATGAACAATTCCGTCTGACTTCCAGAGCTATCAGAAAACTGTCTCATGATTGAACCTGGCCCTACAGGCCTCACTCAATGACAAAAACCTACCCAAAAATAGTGATGGAAAGGATTAATTAAAGGAACTCTGTTTGAAAGGAACTTTGTTTCGGAGCTGGGAAAGTAATATTAAAATTACATTTTAAAATGCCCCATAGAAATCTAAGATAACATTAATTGCTGTAGCACGTCTCACTCCAGTGCCTTACCATGCTTGGAAAAGTTGGAAGAGATAAAACATACTCCTCATGATTCAGGTAGACCATTCTAGAGAGGACTCAGGAAAGCTGAACTACTTGAATAAAATTACCAAGGGAAACAGAGCCAGGAATAAAACTCAGGTCTGCTGACTTGTAGCTGTCTACTCACCACTTAGCTATTGCATGTAATGTGTGGGAAGGGAAATGGCACATTGCATTTAGGATGTCAGAATGTACTCCTGCAAAGGTAAATGATTCATAAAACTCCATACCAGCAAACACTTCCCTGCATCTACAATCAACTATGTTTAAACATTTAACACAATGGCACCACTCACTTCCAAGTCACAGTTCTCAAGAAGGAAGAACATTCAAGGTAATTTTCTCTGCTTGCTAAGAGCATCTGATGCCCATCTGTTGAGATCTGTTTTGACAGAATTTAATTCCTGCTGGTTTGTTTGTTTTATTTTTTTGTGTTTATCTTTTTTATAATGCTGTCTATCTTGCTTCTCTTAAAAGCACTGTCCTAATTATGATGCATTCAGGTAGTCATGGATTTGTCTGTTCACTAAAGATTTAAAAAGAGAAAACATAGAGAATGAACTGGCAAATTCTAAATCTAAATAAATGTGAACAGTGGAGGTTATTTTCTTTCTATAAAGCATGCAGGGAAAAGCTGGGGATATTGAGAAACACAGTTACAAAAGAAACAAAGAACAAAGGAGAAGTAGTGCAGACATAAAGGGAACACCTATCCATATACTGAATACTGCAGGAATTTGTCATTGTTTCATCCCACAAGCCAGAAAAGAAGGACAGACATAAGGAACAACAGAGATGCTCAGAGGCCTTCCTACAGAACAGGGTAAGAGATCAGGACTTTTCAGTTTAGAAAGAGGTAACAAGAGGTTCACAACACTGCAAACACTGCAAAGAGAATTAGTAATTCAGCTTCCCACAATACCAGAATGACAGAAAACCCTACAGTGTAAAATGCAAATCACAAAGAAGTTCTTTCTCACAATAATCAGAAGAAGAAGTGTGAAGTATTCATCACAGGATCATTGAGAAAGTATAGAAGGGTTCAAGTTTAGACATGATACAGTCATAAAAGACTGGTTCACCAGAAATTTCCAAAGAAATCTCTAAATTACCAATTGAGTTTAGGAGGATAAACCATGGAAAAGGGTACTCAGATGATGCTTTGTGATCCTGCTCTGAAAGACTCTGCTATACTGGCCATCAAAGGTAGTACAAGTTTAAATGGACTTTATATACAAACCAGCATAAAAGTTCCTCTGTTTTCTGTCAAAAGGCTTTAAACATTTCCAGAACTGGAATTAATAGGATTGTCATGAAAAGTCAAAAACTATTAAAGCTATTAACAGACTTTGCACAAGCAGATGGAACTCAGGTAACAAAATAGATTTAAATAACTGCCAAAAAATCTACACAGTCTGGCAGAAGTAATCTAACAGAAGTTGGCATTTACTTAGAAAACTGGGAGAATACCTGCTCCTCATGTGACCATGTTCATGTAGATCATTATATAGAGTACAATAAGAAAATAAGCAGAACTGTGTGCAGACCATAACAACGACTAGAAAAGCTTGTAATATTGTTAATTCCTTTTTCTATAAATGCAGGAAGCAAATAAATTTGTTACTAGAGAACTACAGGTCTTTATCCTGCTAACCACCTTTGGTTTGATCTAAGAATGCCTCCTGTGTTCACAGCTGGGTCTTTTAAAGCAGAACCTGAATTCTGCATATCTGCTGCAGAAATTCTCCAAGAGCCAGTAAAAGCCATTTTCAGAAAGGCATCTCATTCCTCTTCAAAACAATTGAATCTACAGCAGCTGTGAAAAGTGAAGAATGCTTCCTGTCACCTTTGTATCACAGCTTTCTGACAGCATCAGTGACAAAATCTGGCACACAATCTTCTCACAAATTAATACCAGACATGGAAGTAGACATCCATAGAGAAAAAGCAAAAGTTCTTTAAATGAAGCATCACAGTATTCCCCAGATACCCTGGGGATAATCTATATGAGGCATCCCAAGCAGTAGCAAGGCCATGCCCTAAAGAAATCTGGATTAAAATATGCTGTGTGCATAGAACATTCTAAATTTATTCCTAGCTCAAGGTTAAATACTGTTTCTTTCTAAATATCACCCATGAATTAAGATCACATAATGATATCTGTATCTTCTATTAAAAAAAAAAAAAAAAAGTATTTTCTTCAGAGATCCCCAGAAGCTGGGTACAGCTAATCAAATGACTTGAATGACTTTCCATCTGTGCCCAGCACAACTAACTAAACAGAGGAAAAAGAAGCAGCCCGGGGGAGCAGCCTAGCTGGCTCTTTCTGACTTCCAAACCCACCAACACTTTGTTTGGCTTGTTAGAAGAAAAAGCTGTCTGTACAACCATGCCTAAAGACTGCTGAGTTCAGGTCTGCCACCTTTATGTTTCAAGCTAAACCTGTATGGCCTGTACCACTCTGTCCCCAAGTTTTGTGTTAGGAGTAGAAAAAGCTGGGAAACACAGGGATTTGAAATGCAATCTCAATTTGCCCAGTGGAGGTAATGGTCATAGGAGATAAAACCATTTGGTTATTTGACTGCTCAGCCCAAACTGTTCTGCAGAGGCAATTTCTGCAGCGAGGCTGAATGAAAACACTTCCTTCTGCAGGAGCTTGTGTAAACAGAGATACTGTAACCAATCTCACCTCAACACAAGGGAGAATCTCTGGCAGCTTTTCATTTTATCAAGTAATAAGAAATCTTTCAAATTCTCCACTCAGCAATCACTTCAGTCAAGTTGATTACCAAAGTAATTCTCTTAATTTGCAAGTGTAGTGCAGAGCAGAGCCTACAGAAAACAGCTCAAATAGCTGCAAACAAGATTTTTTTTTCCAGTTATGCAGAGATGTCTGCCTTGATTCCCAGTGATAATTTGTGGGTGCTCAACGTTGCTGCCTTATAAATAACATATCTATTTCCATTCAGGAGTCTGTTCCCCACACTGAAACAAGTCACTAATAACTCTCACAGTTTGTAGAGCAAGAGCTGACATCCCCCCTTATTCAGAATATACCTTTACTGCCATACATATGTGCAAGATAAAATGTTATCCAAGCACTTTTTAAAGATGAAAAATCAGCTGTTTAAGAAGCAAGAGTGACTTCATCAAGCTAAATATAATATGAAAAATCTAAGGATGAGAGGAAGAGGGAGGAGAATAACACACAAACAAACCCAAAACAGCAAAGAATGTCTTCCAATGAAGCTACCTCCACAGATCCTTATTCTTCCCTGTAATGTAATGTAATCTCGAGTAATGCTGCTTGTTCAACATCAATGAAACAAAATAAATTTCTCTCCATATGGTCTCTTCAAATTGAGATCTAAAAATAGACAGGCAGCCATCAAGAAGGCTTAAACAATTTTATCAGTGCTTGATTTATTTCAGCTTTCTGCTGTCTCTGGTCACAATTCAGTGCAACCCATAAATAAGTTAGGCTGGTAAAGGAGATTGAATTTTTGAGGCCAGAACAGTAATTGAGGAATTGAACAGTCTGGAGGTTGAAACATCTCCTGGGATATAAGCCTTTGGACCTATTAGCAGCTGTCTATTGCCTTTGCAGCCATGGACACCTATGACCATGTCAACATATGGAACTGATTTATGGTTCTTTGTGTCACACACAGATCTCATACATGCGCCAGGCTCCACTGTGCTGTTACTCTGAAGCAAGAATATCTCAGGAAAATCTCCGAAATACAGGAAAGCCCAATTTCCTATTAAGAAAGTCTGCATCAGCTCAGCACATTTTGATTATACAGAAAGCTGTATTTTACATTTTTTCCACACTGTATTAGCACTTGTAAAGGAAAGATTGAAAGTGAAGCCTGAAAGAAGGAATTTGCATTTTTTTTTTAAAAGCCAAACAAGCAAAACCAAAACCCCACCATCACCTGCCATTCTTTCGGTCATTCCCTCAGGATCAAACTTCAAGTAGAAAACCTCCGGAGACAACCAGAGTAATAAGCACGGATTGCTTCCCAACAAAGGCAAAAATAAGCGTCTCCAGGCCTCGGCTGCATGAAGA